AGGCAAAACTAAACCCAAGGGTGGAGGTATTTTTGTGGCGGATGTTCCACAAGGCTATTCTGACCTTTCAGTTTTTGACGTATAGAAGGATGCAAGATGTTACTTCATGTCCAAGAGGATGCAATGAGATAGATGATCAAGAACATGTGGCTATCAAGTGTGTGAAGTTGCTTGAGGTATTTAATTGCTTGAATAAATGGGGCTTTGGTATTCCTTCTTTTGGTGCATTTGAAGATTATTGTTCTTGGCTGAATTGTTCTATTCTTAATAATGGTTTTTTTGGTTAATTTGTATTGTTCTTCGAATTACTTATCTTGGAAGGAGAGGAATAAGTGTGTACATGGCAGTAATGAACATAGTTCGGTGGTGATTGTTGTTAATACAGTAAGTTATGCTTCGATTTCCTTTTCTGATGGAAGATTGAGCTTGGGCCACTAGGGTGTTAATCAGCCTTGTAGGCTGTTGGTGAATCATTGGCACCCTCCTCGCGATTGGATTAAAGTGAATGTTGATGCTTCTTTATTATCATCATACAAGTCTGAAGTTGGTGGTGTATTTCATGATTGCAAAGGGAGATTTTTGCTAGCATTTGGACAAACCTGTGTTCATTGCTATTCAAGCTATTAGGAATGTTATGCAAGATTGGATGTTTAAATGTAAGTGGATCATCATTGAAGGTGATAATAACAATATTATCATAATTTTTCAAGTTTTTTTGAGGAAAACGGATGCTTTAAAGGATGGACATTGGAAGGATGATCTCTCATTTCATAAAGATTTTCATAATGTTATTTTCAATTGTATTGATAGGAGTTGTAATAGATTAGCGAATTTTTGTGCTAGTTTTGCTCTTTTTAGTAGTTTTCTTTGGGATGATATTAGTTGAAAAATATTCCTCCTTCCTTTCTCTATTTGTTAAAGGAGGAATATGATTTTATTGTTTAATAGGTTATAATAAGGTTTTGGGTTAATGCAATAGTTTTGCATCTTTCAAAAAAAAAAAAAAAAAAAGATATACAATCTCACCTACATCATATACAACAAGTTTTGTTGGTATTAAAAGAACAAAAATTATATTGTCATCCACATAAATGCCAATTCATGGATTCGAAAATCTAGTTTTTGAGATTTCTACTTTTTTCCCTTTGAATTGAGGTGGATCCTGATAAAGTTGAGGCCATTGTGGGCTGGCCAACACCTAGTTCTTTCATATATATATGCCGGTTTAACGGTTTGGCTTCTTTTTATCGCCGGTTCATTGCCAACTTTAGCACTATAGCTTCCCCACTTACTGAACTACTTAAAGATGATAAGTTCCATTGGACAGAGGAAGCACAGTCCAGTTTTGATGAACATAAAAAAGAAAATGTCATATGTTCCGGTCTTACGGCTTCCTGACTTCACCAAGGTGTTTCAGGTAGATTGTGATGCCTCCAATGTGGGAATATGTGCTGTTCTGAGTCAAGAAGGAAAACCTATAGCCTACTTCAATAAAAAACTAAATGAGACTAGGCGGAAATACTCCACCTACAATAAGGAGTTCTATGCCATCATTCACGCCTTACATCATTGGAGCCATTATTTGTTATGTAAAGAATTTATTTTGTTTACTAACAATACTGCTCTAAAGTTTTTAGATAGCTAGAAGAAGTTAAGAGGGCGCCATGCCTACCTAGTTTAAGTATATTGCAGCATTTCAATTCCTACTCAAGCATAAGTCCGAAAAACTTAATCAAGTCGTCGACGCCCTGAGTAGGAGAACTACTCTTCTGCTAACGTTACACTCAAATGTGGTTAGATTTGACAGTATAAAGGAGCTTTATTCTACTGATCGTGATTTCCAAATGGATTGGAAATTATGTCAAAATAGTGGCCATCAGTTGTTCCATATTCAAAATGGATTCCTATTCCGCCGTTCTTGCATTTGTATTCCAAATTGCTATATACAGCTGGCTCTTATTTTTGAATGCCATGATGGAAGACTATCTGGTCACTTTGGACGCGATAAAACATTAGCACTTCTCGAAGATAAATTTTACTGGCTAGCCATGCATAAGGACGTACATCGCTATGTAAGGAGCTACAGAATCTGTAAGATGGCCAAAACCGGTCATTAATGCAGGATTCTACTTACCGCTACCTGTTCCGCTTGGTGACGTTAACATGGATTTCATTTTGGGATTGCCACGAACTCAACAAAATAAAGATTCTATCATGGTTATCATTGATCAATTCTCGAAGATGGCCCATTTTGTAGCATGTAGTAAAACACTAGATGCTACTCATATTGACGACCTCTATTTTAGAGAAATTGTAAGACTCCATGGCATCCCAAAGATGATCGTGTCCGATAGGGATGCCAAGTTCCTTAGTCACTTATGGAAAACCTTATGGGGAAAGCAAGGAACTCACCTCCAATTTAGTTCCGTAGCTCACCTGCAAACAGATGGACAAACAAAAACAATCAATCGGAGTCTGGGCAACTTGCTTCCATGTTTTGTTGGGAAGCATATTAAGCAATGCATCTGATCCTACCATAAATTGAATTTGCTTTCAACAGATCCACAAACCAATCTACCGGGTATAGCCCCTTCGAAATTGCTTATGGTAACAATCCCCTAACACCTTGTGATTTGGTTCCAGTATCATCAGCTCCGACCTACAATAAAGAAGAAGAGCAATTCTATAAGGAAAGAAGGAAACTACACAAACAAGTGCAAACCAAGGTCGCAAAGCAGAATGCCAAATATCAAACCTAAGTTAATAAGCGCCGAAGACCTGTTCACTTCCAAGTGGGCGATCTCGTATGGATAAATCTAAGGAAGGAGTGATTTCCCCCAGGAGCTTGTGGGAAGTTTAAACCAAAGGCGGATGGCCCTTTTAAGGTTGTCAAAAAAATCAACGACAATGCTTACCAAATAGATCTCCCCGTCGACTATAATGTTTCGGCTGTATTCAATGCGTCTGATTTAACTCCCCACTATGATGTAGTTCGTCCTTATCTCGGTAGAATGACGCATGAGCTCTTAGATATGTTATATGTTAAACATTTCTTGTTTTGCCAAATAAGTGTCGGGCCTGTGGCCTATTGCTTCTGTATATATATCTTGTCTTGAACTTGAATAAAGGAAACTAGAAGCGGACCTCTAGGGATCGAGGCTGTTCTGGGCATCGAACTTTCAGTCGCGCAACTACAAGTGTGGGAGTGGGGTCACTACATTGGCCACCTACAGTCTCTCCTCATCCCCCTCTGGGAGCACACTAACATTCTTCTCATCGTCTACGCCAACTAGCCATACATCGGAGGAATATAGATAATAAATGTTGCAAGCGATGACTCAAATGCCATTTTGTAGGAATAAATAGTGAGTATTTAACAAAACAGTTTAGACTATGTGGCATAATTTCAATAATAAATTTTGATAAAACTATGACTTAGGTTATCTCAGATTTAATCTTGGTGCTTCTAAATTTTAGGGGTTGTTTGATAGCAGGATTTATGCCGGATTTGAGGCAGATTTGAGCGAAATCCAGCCAAACGTCCTAAAATGCAAAACCAAATCTACGATAAATGAAAGCAGCAGTAGAAGGAAAATTACCCCTTTTTTGGTAAATATATCCTGGTTTTCTGAAATCCTCTTATTCGGTAGATTTACACGATTTGGCCAAAGAAGAACGTGAAAGGGAGAAAGTTACCTTCACAGCGAACAAGCTCCCGTTGTTGCTTCCGATAAAAATTTCGTAACTTTCGAACCAACAGGAAGGGAACGTCTTCGAGGAGCAAAGTCAAATAGCAACAAAGGAGCCGAAGAAGAACAACAACGAAAAAAGCAAACAGTAAGGCGTAGGCTATGTAACAAGAAAGGACCAAATCGTAGAAATTTTTTTTAAAAAGATTAAACTAATCTTAATAATTAATATTCATCAATTAATTAGACATTAATTCATGTAAATAATTATTATTTATAACTTATTTAATAAAAACTCATTATATTTAATTAATTAACTAATTAATAATTAATAAAGATATTAGATTATGCTAATTATAATTTTATTTCACTTTGATAAAATATTTAATTAGCTATAACTAATACTATTTTTATTTAATTTATCTAAACATAAATGAAGAGTTAATTAACTTAATAAATTATTAATTAATAAAGAATCCATTTGTTGAATTTTCTATTTTGGGGACTTAAGGTTTTACAACTATTTTGCAATTACTTTATTACAAATTTAGATAATTTTAAATACTATTAATATTAATTAAATAGATGATTATTTAAAATGAGTAAACTAATCTTAAATCTATGTTATTGTTGTATTTTTATCGAAACTTTGTTGTATTTTATTTGAACTTTTGTTGTTGTACTTTAATTATCTAAGAAATGAATGTCAAATCTCTTAACCACTTTAAATTCTGAATTGAATAGCAATGAGTCACACATGATTTATCATAAATTTACCAAACAGTTTTCAGGATTTAACCCCCCCGCCCCCGAGATTTCAGAAATCCGAATTTAGAGTATTTACAAAATCCTACTTAAATGAAATCCTAGATGCTATCATATAGCCCCTTAATCTTGTTTGTTGCGTGAATTTGTTTTTTTAGATGACACCTCTCACAATAATGCCGTTGATGAATCTAAAAAGCTTCACATCTCAACAATTCAAACGAAGGCTTTTTCATCACGTAAATTGAAATGAAAAACCAAATGCTGTGTGGAGAAATTGGGAAAGGCTTGTAGGGCAACACTTGGAGTGGTTCTTGAGAATTATTCTTATACATGGAAGCATAATTGTTATATTCCCATATAGGTGAAATCTAGCTGAAACTTACATGATGCTTTATTTAATTTTTTTTAATGCCATTTAGATTGCGCATGTCTTCTAACCATGGCACAATTTGTCAAGCTGCTGACGGGGAAGTTGAAAATATTGAGTTAGATTTGACTTTTTCTATTACCGCATTCACAATCCTATTATTTACTTTTTGTAGGTTGCAAGTTGGGGTGGTGATTTATTGGACCGAGGAATTTTGACCCTTTCGCTTGCGCCCAGAGACAATCATGAAGCTCAAGTGCAATTTGCCCTTGAACGAGGCATTCCAGCTATTTTAGGGATTATATCTACTCAACGACTCCCTTTTCCGTCAAATTCTTTTGATATGGCTCACTGCTCCAGATGTCTCATCCCATGGACAGAATTTGGTAAATTCTTGGTGCATTTTTCTACTAAGTTGAAGTTGACCATCTGCTGGCTATTTTAGATGTTGGGAAGTGAGTTTTGTTGTTATCAATCAAGTATAATCTTAAGCCTTCTTGTTTTTTTAAAGATTTTTTTGGAATTATAGAAAGAAATATTTTTTCAAATAATTTTGTTGGTCATAATCTGAACCTAATGATCAATCATATGTTTTGAATTGAGAGTTTGCCATGTCTTTTGATGTTTTTTTTATTTACAAACTTAATGTTGTCATTCTTCTCAATTGTTTAAGTACTTCACAAAGTGTTTAGTATCATTTATGTTTTGTTAATGGATGCTTGCATTGAGTTAAAAATATTAATTTCATGCAGAGTCATATCATTTCATACTCTATTCGGCTTCTTTATTATTTTTTTCTGTTGTTCTCATCCTTCCCAATTATTTTTGTAGTCAGGGGCATTTTGTTACTTAGATATATTTTTTATCATGTGGTAATAGGCATCTTAAGTAGTATATATAAGCATGCTAGGGAATAACATGCTAGACAATATTAGCATTATATGTTTTTTTTTTACTTTAAAATTTGTAGAGGGGAAGGATTGTAATTTCATTTGGCAAAGGAGATAATCTTTTTCAAGAAAAAAATAGTATAATTGTTTTGAAAGCAGCTTTTTTCATTTATTCAATATTTTAAACGTGATAATTTTCGTTGCAGATGGGCTTTATCTTTTAGAAATACACAGAATTCTCAGGCCTGGGGGATTCTGGGTGCTCTCCGGTCCACCTGTTAATTATGAGAATCGATGGCGAGGATGGGACACAACAGTAGAGGCGCAGAAAGCAGATTTTGATAGTTTAAAAAAGTTACTGACAAGCATGTGCTTCAAATTGTATAATATGAAGGATGATATTGCTGTCTGGAAAAAGTCTACAGATGATAGCTGCTACAACAATCTAACTCCATCTTCCTATCCTCCTAAATGTGATGACAGTAGGGATCCTGATTCAGCGTGGTACATTCCACTCCGGCCCTGCATAACTATCACAAATCCAGATTTGAAGAAATTGAACCTGAAAACTACTCCAAAATGGCCCGAGCGTTTAAATGTGGCTACTGATCGTGTTTCCTTGGTATCAGGTGGAAATAATATATTTAAGCACGATCAATCAAAATGGAAGGTTAGAATGAAGCACTACCAAAATTTGCTTCCAGCTCTTGGTAGTGATAAAGTTAGAAATGTTATGGATATGAATACACTTTTTGGAGGATTTGCTGCTGCGCTCATTAAGTCACCTTTATGGGTAATGAATGTTGTGTCATCCTATGGTGCAAATTCCCTTGGTGTTATCTACGACAGGGGATTGATTGGTACATACCATGATTGGTGAGTGAATTTTAAGCACTCAGGATTCATCCTATACATTTTCCAGTTTTCCTTGGGCAAATTCTTTTCTTAAATAGACGTATACGGGAATGCATTCTTAAACTGCGGGATTTGTAGCTTTGTAATGTGGATGCTGAGAAAGCACCAAAGGCAATCACTAAGTATAATGAAAAAGAAAAATCCATACTCTACTAAAATTTGTACTTTCTACAATACGAAATGCTACGTTTGAAATGCTTCATGGATATGGATGCATTTCAATTTCCTTTAACTTGCTTTATAAGAATCTAATTATTGGAAATTTTCGTTACTGTCTTATTGCAGGTGTGAGCCTTTCTCAACATACCCTCGAACATATGATCTTTTGCATCTCGATGGCTTATTTACTGCTGAAAGCCATAGGTGAGAGATAATTCTCATTTATTTCGCTTTATCTGCGTCACAGCTTGTAGATGAATATTTGTGACACGTGGAAATAGTTTTGGCCTACTTACGTAATGTTGCAATTAGACTTTCTTTGACATGCTGCATTTCTATTAGTTTTCACGAGGGGACTGGCATAAAGTGTTATTGGGATTTCTAGCAAGCCCAAAGACCATCATGTTTTCTGAGAGAATCCGAGAAGTTCATTTTTATTGTTATTTTGGAAACAGCATTGGTAGGTTTGGGTGGACACTATCCGTGGTTTCATTCAGAAGTGTGGCCTTGTTTTTATAAAGTGACATTTCAAATGCTAAGGTGATTATTAATGTAGGATGTTTAAAGATCTAGAGTTTACTAATACAACCTAGTATGAGATGCATGCTGAAACACACAAAAATAACAATCCACAAATTGCCTCAACATTGGTCACTCTTATCCCAAAAACAACAGGCATGATTATTTCATTCCCCAAAAAAATATAATTGTCATTAAAATCTGAAATCATTACAAGAAGATTGAGAGCATATAAAATTTCAACAACATCAAGCCTTTATCCCACTATGTGGGGTCGATTGCATGAATCCTTTTTCTCCATTGTATCTTGTTAAGAGTTAAATTCTCGTTTAAATATAATGAAGAAAGGTTATTTCTAATATTTTATAACCAAATCTTTTTAGGCCTATCTCTATCTTTCTTAACATAAGTCAAATCTAATACGTCTACTTTCCAAACCGGGTCATCGGAAGGCTGCCGTTTTATGTGACCAAACCATCTAAGGAGACTACTCTAATCTTTAATTATCTTCCACTTGAGGTAGCTACTCCAACCTTTTCACGTATATGCTCATTTTGCATCCTGTATCTAAGAGTAAAGCCACTCATCCACCTTAGTATCCTCATCTCTACAACACTTAACTTAATATTATGCTTCTCTTTCAATGGCCAACATTTTGCACCATACAACATTGCAGGTCTAACCACCTTCTTATATAATTTTCCCTTAAGTTTGAGGGTGACTTTTCTATCACACAACAAATCTGATGCATTCCTCCACTTAAACCATCCAACTTGAATTCTACTAATAAATATCCCCATCTATTTCACCATCACACTGAAAGCATATAAAATTTCAACAATGATCAAATACAAAAATAATTAGGCACATATCATACTTGACAAAGTTAAATAACTCACACAACCTATTCGCTAATAAGTTAGTAGCAAGAAAAAGGATAGAAATCACCCAATTGAATACCTCAATTTTACGCAGATGCAAAAGACTTTTTGTTGAAAGTAGTCATCAAAACTTATGAAGCTTTCAAAAAATCTACTTATAATAGCACATAATAAAAAATGAGGATAATTAAAATTTTAGTTACACTATTCGATATTCATGAAATTTTACGTGCCATAAATAGCCCACGGATGACCCAATGCTAAGAAAATCGTTGGAATCATCTTAAGTTCAAATTAAAAACAAGTTCCAATTCTCATTGGGTCAAAAAATAGGAGTCAGTTTCTGTTTTACTTAATATCCATTCCATTTAGCCTTAAAAAACCCAAACAAGGTGATGATGGCTTGCACGAGAAGTTCCCTGTATCATGTTAGGAAGGCAACAAGTATTAAATCCTGCAAGTAACATTTATAAGAAACCGTAGATAGAGAAATATATAAACTTCTCAACTTTAGCGTACATTAGTCATCTTTAATATCAAAATAACAAATATGCTTATAATAATCCAAATAAAATGTAATAGTTTCCATAATCTAAAATAGGCTCACGAAGGCTGAGAGAAAGTAAAAACTTTCAGCAATTATCAAGATTTAAAAAAAAAAATTGACAAATTTTACATTTAATAAAACTTAAGTAATATAGACACACTTCATCAAATAAGCTAATAAAAAAAAAACGATAGAAATCACATATTTGAAGGTCCATGCCTTATGTAGATACAATAAGACTCATTCCCCCTTTTTAGTAGTCATAAAGATTTGAGCAATGCTCAAAGGATCAAAACCCAATATCAAACAATGAAGATTGAGGAAAACAAAAATTAATTATACAATTCAATGTTCAATGAATTTTATATTCCTTAAGGGTCTTTCATATAGCCCACAAAATGATCCAATATTAAGAAATTTCATAGAATCCTCTTGGTTCCTATAAAATATTATAATTTTCAAATCTCTCCGCATCAAAGAGTAGGAATCAACTTTTGCTTTCCTTAATGTTCATCCTATGTAATCGTAATGAAACCCAAAAGAGGAGGTAAGGGTTTTACACTAGAAGTTCCCTTCGCATGTTTGGAAGATCACAAATATTAACTCCTTAAGTAGCATTTAATGTAAATACAGGAAATCCTATAAGTGTTGTTTATAAGGAAATGAATGTGAGCTATTCCTTCTCTAACCTATATTTTCCCAGGACTGTAGCATGTGTTGAAGAACGCGACATAGAAGGAAAATCACAGGAGGCAAATGAAATTTTTATGTAGCATTAGCAGTAATAATATATAAAAATATTACATAAAAATACTAATAACACTTGAAACAATAGCCGAAAAGGGACCAAACTTGGAAATTTTTACTTGACAAGTGCACAGTTTAGCTTCCCAGCAAATGTGCCCAACATAGAAAAATTTGGCTTCGGTGAATTTGTCAAGTTTGGGCATGTAATTGTTGTGTTTATTGCAAACTAATCATGAGTAATCATATTTTTGTTTATCATACCAGTGTATAAGATAATTTTGATATCTACCATTAGAAGTTGACAATCTCATCATATATAATTGCTTAGGATAAGCTATTTAGACTTCTATGGTAAGATGCTACATGCGAATTTGTTGAGGGATTAAAAGAGAGAAACCATGGGGCTGACTGTTGGTTTATGATACAATGTCAAATTAAATAAATTGAAGATCATGCTGATACTAGTGCTTCTCAAGAATTTTAATTTGTAAGACTTTGTCCCAATGCATTATAAAAGCTTTATGTAACATCATCTTTCTTGCAGTTAATTTCTTGAAGCTCCCTATAAAAAATAAAAGCCATTCAAGATTTACACATGCAATTACCTTGTAACCTGCTTTGAATTTCATAAATTTCTTTTTCATACTAGTAAAAGCTTTGCATATTTGCCATAATTAATAGCTACCTTATTCTGAATTTTTTCATGCAAATGACTATCAAATTCACTAGGTTTATATTTAATCAAAAGTTCAACAACATTTATAGGTTTCTAGGTTTGTGACATGTGATAATTTATATGAACTCATGCTTATTTGTCTATTAAAAGAGGAATATATGCAAACTTAACCATAGGTAATATTAAGTCTCAACAAGATGTATGAATATTGACAGGTGTTAGCTAATCTACAATCTCTTATCTTATGAAGATTAATAGATAGCCCGCCCATCCAAAAATGTTACGAATTCTAAAAATGTGATAGCTGGTGAAACAAAATAGTACTTATTGTGGGCTCCGAAAATTCAGACCCGGCCTCCCCACCGCGCACTGATTGATTGTGCTTTTATTTGAGCTAGAGAGTTTTAACGAAGTAAGTTCCGGTGTAAATTTTGGAAGGCAGATGGGTTTGTAGATAAGACACTACCCAGAGATTTCGCCCTCATTTTGTGCGGACTTTATGATCTGAGTTCTGGTTTCCTATAGGCGCAAGCCCCTATAGTTAATTACCCCTCCCGATCACGAGAGTGAACTTTCAATCAAGGCTAGTCATCGATCAGATACGTAGAGATACGTGTTATCTGGCATATAGTAGGAGCATGGGTTTGATTTGGACATTTGGGTTTGCATTTGGAGATTGATGTTTAAAATAGAAATTTTCACCATCTTGCACTTAAAGAGGATGTTGGGGGAATGGATGATGGGCCCGATCAAGATCCCATGGTTCCGTCATCCCTGGCCATCGTGGTCCCTGGTCTACTTAGTCAGAGGAGGTAGTCGACCCAACCTGACAGAAGGATCCTTGTCGGCAGCCATGGGTTGCTTCGTCCAAGGGGACCTTGTAGACCTGGGTTGAATGTTTGTCTAAGGGGACAAATTTGAATCCACCTTAGCTAACAGAGGGCTTTGTGCCCTATTGATCATATCCTATTGATTCATATCTTAAGGATTTGATGCCACTAAGGAGCGTATTGGCTCTGGCCATAACCGGTATTTTGTGGTGCCATTTGGCGGCAAAATCACTCGGTTCAGAGGGCCCCGGGTCGTCATAACCGTTTATCTTGCGATGCCATTTGGCGGCAGACCGCCGGTTAGAGGACACGTACCACGTCCTTATTGACAGGAGATTGTTTGAGAATGGATCCTAGTGATATTTTCGACTAGGCATTTGGCTCTTTGTGAGAAGAAGTAGATTTTAATTTGTCCACCCCAGCAAACTATTGCGGAGGGTGGATGGATTTTGCTTTGAGTGATTGATGGATGGTTTCGAATTTAAATATCTTGGAATTTAGGATTTTTGGATTTTTTTTGGATTTTGAGTGGAGCTTGGATGACATTTGAAAATATTTGTAAACCCCTCCGGTTGAGATTAGCATTCAACACGGCCATCATCGGGGTGTTTGGGGTCATTTCCCTTTATTTGATTGAACCTTGTCGACCCTATCGACTTACCAATAGGGGATCGAGTTTCTCGTAGGGTTTATGCCTTTGTTCATAAATTTTCTTTGTTGAAGGTCTTGACGGCCGAATATGAATGTATAAGATAAATATTCCGGTCAACTTCGTGACCGCATATTTATCCGATGGTTTGAACCTTGTCTACTCCTATTTACATGCTTAGGAGGATTTTGTTTCGTAGGCTTTGTGCCGTTTGTTTAGTTAATTCTTTTGATTGTAGGCTTTGAAGGCCTAATATGAATGTATTAAAACAAATACACTGGTCGCCACAACCATGTATTTGTTTGAGAGTTCGAACATTGTCGACTTCTATTGATCCGTATAGAAGGATCAGGTT